TGGGTGTGTGCCAACGCATTGATTGGACTGTGTGGACCATCACAAACTGGATAATCAAGCAGGGTGAGAATTGCAGAACACTTCATTATGCTCATGTGAAACCCGTACTTAGGCGCTCTCCGCGGCCTGGAAAGTGCGGAGAGAGCATCCACGTGGCAGACTGGACCATCCGGCGGGAGCAGGGAGGGACAGGATTGAGATAATAAGGGCAGCTACGAAAAAGATGAGAACGAAGTAAGCGAACCCAGGAACCATTACACAAGTTTCTTTGTCTAACGTTCCGCTTTATAACTTACTCTGCCTCCACTCGATCGGTGTCGTACCCGCTGACCACTTTCCTCCCTCTCGCCCTTTCATTAAGTTAGGGTCACTACTTTTGCCGATAATGGTGACCCGCTTCCTTCCGGTTCTCTAAGCTAAGACCGGAAGTGTTGAATTTAAGCGGCTCCCCCGTTAATAAGGTTGATAACTGCACAAGAAGGCGGCTTGGGCAATTTGGTTGGTGGGCAATTTGGTTGGTGGTTGCTGGAGTGCTCCGATTCTCCGTCTGTACAGGACTTAACCCGTCACCATGTTGAGCAGAAGGGCAAAGACCAAGACCACCAAGAAGAAGCACCCTCCATGTGCAACGTCCAGTGTGTTTGCCATGTTTGACCAGTCACCTTCAACATGATCGACTAGAAAAGACGTGGAGGGTTTGCAGGATATGCTTGCCTCCCTGGGTGAAAATCCACGGATAAATATGTGGACGCATGTGAATGAAGCTCCAGGCCCCATCAGTTTCACCATGTTCCTTACAATGTTTGGGGAGAAGCTGAACAGGACAGATCCGGAAGATGTCATCAGAAATGCTTTTGCCTGTTTCGGTGAAGAAGCAGCTGGCACCATTCAGGAAGATTACCTGAGAGAGCTGCTGACGACCATGGGCGATCGCTTCACGGATGAGGAAGTGGATGAGCTGCACAGAGAAGCACCCATTGACAAAAGGGGTATTACATCAAGTTCATGCGCATCCTTAAACATGGAGCGAAAGACAAGGATGACTGAATGAACTTCAGATTCCAGCCAAACCTTCCTTGTTGCCATTGTGGGTGTTTCTGAGACTTTCTCGTAGAGCTTATTGCATACCCTGAGCTTGACCGCTTCTGCCTTCTTGTTGTATTTATTCTCAGCCATTTGGGGCACATGCATCTCTCTAATCAGACTGGAAATGGGACTTTGTAAAGTAGGACTGGGAAAAGGATCAATGCCTTATCAAAGCTAAAGAAAATATTCTCAGATTTTTTTTCCAATTTACTGGATATTTACATTTTTTTGGAAATAAAAACTTTGGGGGGAAAGAAAGAAACCCATACTTAGGTCAAGAGGCAGGTGTGTGAACAGAACTGCGTGGAGTCCCGCGAGGTTTGCAGAGTCAGGTGAGGTGTGCATCAAGATTGTGTCTTGTCTCTACTGTCCATCAGTATGCTGATCAAGACATCCAAGGAGCTTGACTATATGAGGAAGAACGGGGCATCAATTGGAGGAAGGCTCATTAACAACTGGCAATATGCAGATACCACAACCTTGCTTGCTGAAAGTGAGCACTTGAAACGTTTGCTCATGAAAAGACTAGCCTTCAGTCTGGATTGCAACTCAGTGTGAAGAAAACCAAAATCCTCACAACTGGATCAATAGGCACCATCGTGTCAAACAGTGAAGATTGAAGTTGTCAAGGATTTCCTTTTGGTCGGGTCCACCACTCACGGAAGCAGCAGTCAAAAACCAAATGACACTGCATTGGGCAGGTCTGCTGCACAAAACCTCTCTTAAAGTGTTGAAAGCAGCGATGTCACTTTGAGGACTGAGGTGCACCTGATACAAGCCGTGGTGTTTTCAGTTGACTCTTAGGCATGTGAAAGTCGGACAATGAATAAAGAAGACAGCAGAAGAGTTGGTGCATTTGAATTAGGGTGTTGGCAAAGAATCGTGGACTGCCAGTACCATGGACCGCCAGAAGAACAGATTTGTCTCGGAAGAAGTACAGCCAGCTGTGAGGATGTCAGGGTTTCTCGTGCGCTTTGGCATGCTGTCAGAGAAACCAGCCCTTGGAGAAAGGCATCAAGCTTGGGAGAGTAGAGGGGCAGCGGAGAAGAGCACGACCTTTGACGAAATGGATGGACACAGTGGCTGCAGCAACCAGCTCAGCATAACGATTGTGAGGATGGGGCAGGACTGCGCGGTGTTTCGCTCTGAGTCGGAACTGACTCCACAGCACCTAGCGACACCAACAACTACATCTCAACCCAAAAGATGCCCTAGAAACCTCAGGAGGCAGTGAGTCCATGTTCCCGAGGGAGGACGGGTTCAGAAAAGGAGGCTGGGAATAGGCACACAGCTCCCTCCCTCACTGCTCTGGCACCGATGCTGACTCACAGCCAACCTATGGGGGTCCACGGCTGTAGCTCCTTACGGGAGTAGAAAGCCCATCTTTCTCCCAAAGAGCAGCTGTTAGTTTCAAACTGCTCACCTTGAGGCTAGCTGCCCAACTTGTAACCACTGTGCGAGCAGGGCCCCGAGCAGTTGCACAAGTAGGAGAGTGTCATAATGCCGCCGAGTGCCACACAGAGAAGCTGTTGAAAAGATGTGGAGCTCTGCTGCGTATCTTCTCAACCACTGCAACAGAGTGAAAGTGCAAATATTACTGGTAAGCCGCTGCAAAAAGCCATGGGGTTGAAATGTTCTACGGAGATGGGCTATCCAGAACAGGCAAATCCGTGATACAGAAAGGGCGTCCATGGTTACCTAGGGGCTTGGAAAGGTGTCCTGGTGGTGCAATGGGTTAATCTTTGGACTGCTAACAGTGAGGTTGGTAGTTCAAACCCAACAGCCACTCGGAGGGAGAAAGATGAGGCTGTCTGCTCCGGTAAAGATTGTGAGAGTCTCAGAAACCCAGTTGAGGGTCCAAATCAACTGATGGCCGTGGCTGTGCATAGAAGTTGGAAAGAGGGTGGATGAGGAGTGAGGATTCAGTGGTGTTTCCAGACACAGACTAGGAAGAAAGGCCTGGTGATCTCCTTCCAAAAATCAACTAATAAAAGCCCTATGAATCACAGCAGTGCGATCTACTGCCAATCCTGGTGCTAGGGTGAGACAGGACAGCGTTTTGCTCCCTGGAGTGTGGAGTCGAGATGGGTCAGCCACCTTCCCAGCAGCCAATGTCAACAATGTGTGCAGGGGGTGGGTGGCTGCAGACTCGCGGTGTGGAAGGGTCAGAGGTGGCCCCTGTGGGAAGCAGGTCAGAGCATGCCTTGCTGTTGAGACCAAGTTGAGCAGTGAACTAAAGGCGGGGCCTTGCCCAGGGTCGTGGTACCATGGGCTTCAGAAAACTCATGGGATCTTTTCATCCTATTTTCCCTCGAGCTTTTTGAAGCCCCTTGCCCCCCTAGCCTACTCTTGGGTCACAGGGCCTTCCTGGCCCCACAGGTCCCCACACGCACCTGAAAAGCACGGGGACTCCAGTCGCAACAGATGTGATACAGACGCAGGTTCCCGGGGTCCCAAGCATGCTCCAGTGGGGAGGCACCTTCCACCAGGTGGTCACCCCTTGCCCAGACTGCCTGACCTGGCCCAGAGGTCATGAGTGGCAGGTTTCCAGGGCCACCGGCCATGGCTTTTTATCCGTGTCTCAAAAGGAGCCAGCAGAAAGCGCTCAAAGAGATGCCTCCTGTTTGCCAAGTGGATCCAAGGCGATAGGTGACCAGTGGTGACCTCCCCGCAGTGGGACCCCAGGGAAAGGG